TGCAGTGGGTCACACGCAAAGGTCAGGAATTAGTTTCTTTTAATTTACATCAGATACAGTCAACAACTTTCATCTGTTTTCTAGCAATGTACCAATATATTAGCTGAATATTGGTATTGGATGATACTGTTGCTGTTGACTGATATCAGCATGTTGCAGATAAGATTACATCACTGTCAGTTCCCATTAAGTATTCGCGGTTATCACTTCTGTCATTTTTGGATCAACTGGATAATGACAAACTTTAAAACAGGTCACTTTTTTATAAAGAACAAAAGAAAAAGAAATACTGGCAATGGCTGTTGGATAAAGATTTTTAGGGCATCCCCAATCACGATCATTTCTTTTAATTCATTCAGGAACAAAACCTTTACCACTGATGGTTCTTCTCATATACTGATGTTTGTCTTTATAAAACTATGACAGACAATAGTTAGAAGTATAAGATTTTTCTTTGAAAACAGGAGCTATTTATTTATATTTTCTCTCAGTATGTGTGAGTAAGAACAGTGTACGTTTTTATGTAATCAAGAGTTTCAGCTAACAACAGGGTCATGTGTTTTTCTACATGGTTGGAATTGGGCCACAGGCCACTATTTGCTTAGAAATGAGGTGCCAGCTATTAGTCATGAAACTCAGGAATGGGAAAATTCCGACAGCAAGTCACTACTGACAAATTTATTTGTTAACCCACATCTGTTCATGTGCAGATGAAAACAATATGAACTCAGGGAACAGGCCTTGTCCCATGTCAACTATCGTACATGTCTGAGTTCCAGAGTAACCGGAATGGTAAATGTAGGCATTTCTGGGCAAACATGCCAAAGAGTTTTCATGCCCATTCAAAGACTGCATGTTTTAGCACTTTACACGGCTTTACACTGGAGGTTTATTTGCTATTTCTATTCAAACTGGATGGAAAAGATTTTTCCCCCCTCTTCAGTAGCAATGGAAGCAAGCATGTTGGCTGTGATACACGGACATCTGTTTGTCCTTGTCTGCAATGAAAGCCTGAAGCGTGTTGCATGTCCAAATTGGGAGTGCCTTCCATTCAGACACTTGTATGAGCCTAATGACCCCGGTGCCCGGGGTCGGCTCTTCATTGGCTTCCCTGTTTTTTTTTTTTACCATTTTCTCAAATTTAAATTGTCTGCCCCTCTCGAAAGGGCCCCCATCACGTTTCAAAAACATTATGGCTAATACATTCCAATGTGTGAGGTCACTGGTGGTGGCAAAGTGTCAGAGCAAAGTGTCTACCACAAATGTTCATCTATTGGTTGCCTTCAGTGAAGGGCCAGGCAATACAAAGGCATCCCGGATCCAACAGCTCCAAGACTTCCACTTCTTTCCCGTTACCCATTAGCATTAGAGGAACAACCATCTGGGATGGTTAAAACACTGGATTTCTTTGACGGGGTGCCTTTGTTTTTGGTGATGACTAATCTGAGTAAGCTTTAGTGGGAAAGGGGCAACGCTGTAATTAACTTTCTGAAGAACCGGTGTAAATTCCAAGGCTGACAAATACTTAAAAAAAAGAGAGAACAGGAAAGCAAAGCCCTTATAAATGGACACATCATCGTCTTGTAATTAATAAAACTGGATGCCTGCTGAATGATTTCCCTATGATGATGCCTTTCAATTCAGGAGTGAAGTATACAACATGATCAGATATGAACTGAAGTGAGACTTTGACAAATTTCATATAATTTCTACTGGACTACCATTTAATAAGCATAGATGCTAAAAAATGCCACAACACCTACAATATGTAGTTGTATCTGTAATGTAAAAACAAGTTCTTTTTAACTTGCTAGCTAGATCATCAATCCCAATATCTTCCTTCCAATGGCGAGAAATTGTTTGCTGGTTTTTGCATTTCTTTCATATAGCTGAGATATTGACCACTAGACTACGCTTGAACTTTGAACTTGCACACTCTGTTTATTTATACATCTACACATATAGTAGTGTCTTAGATCTGGGGAATTATTTTGGTAGATATTTCCTTAAGAGGATAAATAAAAAAAATATGTTCTGCTATTGTCCTACGTGAAAATTAGGGGATCACCAAAGGCAGTCTGACTTATTCTTTGTAAACCCTGAATCTGTTATCAGAGTCCAGATTAAATGATCTTGCACTGTAAATAATAAATTATGTCAAATTTGGCTTAACTTTATAATTTAAGCGAGACATTTCATCAAAAACCAGCAACAATGTCAATGAGGAAAGACAAAGAGAGGAGCAGCAGAAGAGACAGTAAAGGTTGTCCAGACCAGACTAAATTAAACATGAGGTTCATTTAGTCAAACCAGAGCATTTCTCCTGAGTCCTGTCTAACGTGGGTCATCGTGAATATCCACGTTATTGTTCATTCTCAATCACCAGTGGAGGAGCAAAGTGGGGTTAAAGACAGTCGCCCTCTAATAAAGCTTTGTAGGGCACGGAGCATTCGGAGCCAACAGCTGTCCAAACAAAGGCCTGTTTCCCACTCATCGTTACGCCAAGTGTCACTGTCAGTGGCTACTTATATGCATAGCCAAACCATCATAAAACATTAATATGCCGAGCCTGCGCTGCCAGTGATGGTCACATGGCACTCCTGTTACACCGACATTACTCAGACCCATGTTGGACATGGAAATAGGTTAAAATTACTTGTAAATCTTCTGAGAGATATTTAAGGAAGATATGAAAGGTCTGCAGTGGACCTGAAGGCTTAGACGGCTGTTGAAACACAGCCAGGCTCCTTCCCCGTGTGTGCATCTTCTCATCATACACAATTACCATCCAGCACATGCTCGCCTGGTATCCCGTGGGTCTCCTGTGGGTCTCATCACTTCTCGCCTTCTGCACCAACTTACCCATTCACATTCTCCCTAAGATGTAGATAAAGGTTTTGATATCAGCCACCATGAGGATGTGATTTTCTTCAAACAGCTTCGAGGTGTAAAGTTTAAATGAATAAATCCCGTCTCTGCCTGCCTTGAAGAACAGCTGACACACCTTAAAGGATTTCACCAGCTTTTGGTGGAAAACCTATAGTGGCCCAAAATAAAGTTTTCGAGACTGAAAACTTTTAAGAGATATGTATTTCTGAATTATTATTATTTTTTTAGCAAAAATGCCTTTTATTCTCTTACAAATTGAAAAAAGGACTAGTAACTGTCTTTGCCTCATACTGTAGGTGTGACTGATACTGCTGCTGCTTCAGTTACCAATGACAGCTCTATAATTCTGCTAATGTTACTGTATTTTACCAACACACTTTTAGGGAGTTGTGACCACAAAGGCAACATTTTTGACAGAAATGGCAGAAGACTAACATTAAGTGTTTTATCTTCTGTCCAACAAAAGAAGAAAAAACCCCCCACAATTGGCAGAAACCCTAAAAATCCCATATTTACTGTCAGCATACTAGTCTATCAAACACCCTCAGGTTGATGGTTTCTCTCTCTACAAACTCCTGTTGGAAACAAAAGCATGAAGCTGAACTCATGATAAGAGGTTGGGAAGCACATGGAGATGTGTGTTCAACCCATAAGCACCACATGTAATCTAATATTTTATACTTTTAGAAACACGTTTCTTTGTTCCTCCTACACACCCCATTATTTGTATTTCCTTGAATGTGATTTTTATCCAGCTAATTTCACACATTTTAATTTCTGTGCATATAGCCATGCCACTGACATGTCTATGTGTGACCACAGTTCAAGTCCTCCAAGGGACTCCCTTTTTTTTTTTTTTTTTTAAACTCAATCAATAAAAGTAGGGTTAGGTTTGTGATATTAAAACTACCTAGCTAGGGTTAGCCAAGTACTTGGTTTCTTAGAAAATTTTCTTGGTTGCCAGGGTGATGCAGAGCTGCTGACAATCTCATCCATAGATGTGATCATATGCATGCAGAAACAAAGCACGTTTCCTGTTGTATTTGTTTCAAACTCGTGCTGAGCTTAAAGAAATAAAACTATTTGTGTCTGTGTACACGATCAAAGAGCTTATTTCTAAAGACATTTTTTGCCATCTGACCAGGCTGGTGTGTTTGTTTCAGTAAGGCTGCCGCTTTACAACAGGCACTGTGTATGTTGGAAATCTGGGACAGGAACCAACCGGCAGCATCTAATGCAGAGCAGCTGTCTGTCTCCTGGGTTACAGAAGCCTACTGTCTGCTGGCAGCCATAAAGTGTACAGCTGGACCTACTTCAGCAAGTAGTCCAAACACACATGCATGCTCACACTCACATACGTTGGACAAGCGCATAGTAACACTAACCATCTTGGCACTGCTGTGCCATCAGACAATAACTCAGCATCAGCCCTAATGCAGGTAGAATAATTCAGCAGATTATGACACTGTTCTATCTACAAACCTCACTCTTTTTTACCGGCTCTCTGGTAATAATAGGGAAACAGCCGACAAGAGGAAAAACTTTTCCCAGTAAAACATAATTGGCAGCCAGGTGCATGCAGTAAAAAGCACAATTAAGACAACCTGAATGCTCGAATTACAAAACATAGAATGAATTACAGTAACTGCTTTGCAGAGCAAGCAATGGTTTTGCTAACATCATCCACACATTCTCCATGTGAGATCGATGTATAGATTTCAACATGGTCACTATCACTGCCATGAAAACCTGTCAAAGCACCTCAGAAATCAAAGCAAAAATCTGAAATGTTGGTCGGCTTACGCTAGTTACACCAAATTTTCATTTTTGGGGGGCAAACAATCCAGTGAATAATCAAAAGATTTTTTCTAATGCCAATAACCATTGCACTATCTATGCATTTCATAAAATTGGCCAAAACAGGATAGAAATCTTTGGAAAAAGTTTGAATATACACTAATATGGAAGAACAGAGCTGAGACAGTGTGTTTAAAGTTGTCATTCACTGCCATTTCCTTTTCAAAATGGATCTTAATTAGGTAAGTGAAGCAGCCCATTCATTCTGCTCTTATTCAAACACTGGCTCAGTGCAGGTAAAGGAGGTAACTTACCTTGAAGAGAATGCTTGCAGCCTCTCCACCGATGAGCAATCTAAGAAGCCTTGAGGAGAGCCTTATCAGCCAGCCCTGACAAATGTTCTCACCGGTCTGTATCTCTCAGAGCACTGACAGCTCTGTCATCTTCCCTCTTCTCTCTGTTCTCTTTGAGTGTTTACTCGAGTCTACCTAGAGAGCCAGCTGATGTTGAGCAGCCAGTGAGGAGAGAAAGAGAGCGAGAGAGAACGAGAGGCTGAGAGAGGGAAAGAGTGAGTGAAAGAGAGAATTCCCTTTCTCTTAAACACTAGACCCTCTGCGGTCAGACTCCACTCCCACCTACTGCTCTCTTAAATGCCCACCCCACCACCTCCACCTCTCCCATTCACCCTCTCCACAGCATTGTGAGTGAAAGCGAAGGAGCTGAAACAGGACGCCTCAAGGCTGGAAGAAGAGAGTGAGCCAGAGAGAGAGAGTAGGAGAGTGAAAATGGGGAAAGGGAGGTGGGTAGAAGGGGTGGAATGGGATGGGGTGGTGGTTGGACCATTAGCAGCAAATTGCAGCGGGCAAGCCAATCGAAAGCAAGATATGAGTGAATGCAGGGCCTGCATTAACATAGCATTAAAGGACTTGAAAGCAGGGAGTGAAAAAGGGCCGCCAAAGGCTCCGTTTGTGAGATTGATGAGCCTGGGTAACAATGAATATGCACTCAAATGATGTACTGGACCCATGTTGAACATATCATATTAAAACAAAAGTTTTAACTAGCTACTGTTGCTAGTTTCTGATTGCTTATACAAAAAAGGGCAAAAAAACCCCACCTTACAACACCAAAGAATGGCACCAGATAAGTCTCTACAATCCATCTGGGAATTCAAGACTAGAAATAGCGATCCATCTATTTAAATGCTCTTTATAGATTTTTACACTTTCTGACCTAAAGTTCAGAAACATACCAATGTCAGAGGAATTACTTTTGAACATGGAAAATGACGCCAACTGAAAGTCACATAAATTCTATGACGTTTGCAGTTTATACAACCGTCAGTGTCAAAACTGTCAACAAACCATAACACTTTTGTGAAATGTTTGTGATCAGTGTTCTCCAGTTTCAGTGGAATGCCAACTCATGCTTGACTAAGTCTTTTTAGATGCAAGTCGTGAAACTTGGCAGCCTTCCTTGCAACTGGGAAGTTACTTTAATGCATCTATTGATCGATTGATCTATGTAAATGAACAGTGGTTGCAGAGAAAAAAACTATATGTAAAATAAGCAGTGAAATATTTACATAAGGCTTCACCAATTTTGCAAAAAAAAAGTTTAGGAAAAAGTTTTGTTCTCCTTTCAGTTACACATCAAATACACATCCACCCAGTTTCACAACAATATGGTTCAATCCAGGTGTCTTGTTCTTTTGATGTTGGCACATCCATCTCAACGGTAATCTGCTCCTTGTCAACCACCACTCTGTCTTGTTGTTTGGCCAGTAGCTGCGTGTCTGTCTGGAACTTGAAGTCCCACAGCCCTGCCATTCTCAAACACCTTTGGCAACGTCACCCATCAGTACTTGGGGACTTCTAGTCCATATGCAGCTCAGCTTTTTCCCGCACTCTATTCCAGTGACTTGGCTATGCTTTTACATTCTGCTGCTATTTACCGTACAGAGGTACCTTTGCACAGCCTGCAACTTGGGTACTGTTGGCTGTGGCAGACTGCCTGGATCTGGTGCCGGGGGCTTGCTCTTATGTTTTTTTTTCTTTGTTTTCTGGCTTTATTTGATAGGTACAGTGAAGAATTGCAAGTAAAGGAGAGGTGGAGAAAGAGTCAAAAGGGCCATAGGTCGGACTCAAACCGGCATCCGCCATTCTCAGTCATATGGCATCTGGTTACCTGCACTGAGCTAAACCAACGCCCGGGCACAGCCTTTTCTAGCCACTGATAGGATTTGTCTTAGCCTCTTCCTCGGTAATTGGTACAACCCATGCAGGGACTTGATTATCCATGATAGTTCCTCTTCCTGTTCCTCATCACGGTCTGTCTTCAGCTGCCTGAAGCACTCTTGGAGCATCTCATCTCAGGATGCAAGCTTTATGATGTGTTTATGGATACTTTAGCCTGGATTGTGGCTTGACTGCCGCTGATCCTAGTTGTCCTTTCCGTTGCAGTACAGCCTCAGGGTACAAGCCTTCACGGTCCCATTGAGTTCCTGATTAAGGTTACCAGTACAGTATTGTAGCCTTGTATAGTGCCAAGCACTCCAGTGCCCACATGTAGGCCACTGAGTCAGAGACTTTCTTGTATTCAGACAATATACGGCATATAATAGCATTATTACTTTATTATTCGAATGATTACTTTAGTATCTTTGAATTTCAGATTTCGGTTACATACTGCAGATTATGGTACAGACCATAGTTAGTTCCTGAAGTCCAACAAAAAAAGATGGGATTTGGATGATTATATTGATAGAATAATGGGGGTTTCATTGATTTATCCATTTAGTGACTAAGGCTGTGACTGCCAAGTTAAAACCTGACACGCTTGATCAAACAGTCGTGTCAGTAACAATGTCTATAGTTTTCTTTGGATACCAATTGTATGGTGGATGCAATTCTGCGCTAAATAATTTATGTAAACAGGGAGAGCCGCCATAAGTAAATACAGGAACAAAGAGTTTAGGAGGATCCTGCTTTACTCAGTTCAGATTACACTGGACCTGTGACTTTAAAATAGAGAGAAAAGCTCTTTCATGAGAATGAGTGTGGAGGAGGGTGTGACATTCATTAAGTCAAAATATCACTCCTAAGACTGATTGTAAAAGCCTTTACTGGTGGTACTGGGTTGGTTTCTGCTCAGTGCTTAACCTCTTTATCAGGCTACCAGCAATCTAGCTAGGTGTTGAGTTGGGGTTGGGTTTGTCAACAGACATTTGGCATTACAGTTTTTTCTGTTAAAAAAACAATCCCCATTTGGACGTTTCAAAGATGTGAACATTCTATAAAAAATTTGTGAATGTGAACTTAAACAAATCCTAATCCTAACCCAGGTGACAGTAACCTCATGGATGCTAAAATGGTAAAACTGCAATTTCTCGAGCAACACGACTGTACATTTCCATCTTTTTTGAAGCACCTTTTGGGAAATATGCATTCTCTAATCTCAAACGTATGAAACACTGATAAAGATTGCTGGTATGTGAGCGACAATCTATTCTAAACATCAGTGGGGTGTACGTGCCGAGGTTTACATCAAGACTGAGCAGAGCTTTTCTCTTCAGGGGAAATGATCCTCGTCTTGCTGCTGAGAGCCTGTGGCCAGTCAGGCAGAAAACATCTTCTCTAATCCCATATAAAGCACAATGACACACATGCAGCACAGCTATAGGGTGATAAAAAGCAAAATTCAATGACTTGAGGGGCCCCTAAATTTTGGTTCTCATCCCTGCTCCCCAGAGAGAAGAGGGAAATGTACACAGTCTGGGGGATAAAGATTTTTTTAATGACTTCTTGCTGTAATGATATCATTTAGATGAGAGAACTGGTTGAAGGCTTGGCTATGTATAGCACCTGTTTTAAATGACTGTAAATGTAGAATCCCTGCGTCTCTCCATCTGTTCCTGTTCTCACCTTCCTGTTGCACTCTCTCTTTCCTTCTCCCTCCTTCACAGCCCCGACAGGCTTCGCAGAGAATTGCTGTGGGAGTTCTCCACCTCCCTGTTTGCAAAGGCGTACCTGTTCGCCAACTTTCGGAACAAGTGAACTGAGCGGGTTTGATTTCCCAGATGACACCCGGTACGTGAATCCTCGCCTGTCATCCAATTTCAAACCAGACGTCTGCTTGAGGGAGCCTATTTTATTTCCATTAGAGCAAAACAAGGTTTGGTTTTATCGGCTGTCTTAACATATACACAGAAGGAAAAGTGGTACAATAACTGAGCATAAAGAGAGAACCGCTACCTGAGTGGAGTGTTACTATATAGGGCAAGAAACATCACAAGGGACGGGCTATTTTCAAGAACTGGTTCTTGCAAAATAATCAATATAAAATTCAATTTTTGAGCTGGAAAGCGCAATCAAATCAGTTATGAAACAATACACAATAATGAGATTTTGGTGGTCTTTGCAATCCTCACTGCAGGAAAATTTCATCTAAAAGGAAAAGTGAGGCAAAGGTTGCCTAGAGCACGTATAATAAGGTCTTCTTGCCACCATATAATTGGTGGTGTCTAACTTGAAGGAAGGAAGGAAAAGGGACTCTGTGGGAAGTGAGACACATTCTGTCAATGACAGTGAGACCTAATTATACGATTGCAGCCCCTGCAGCCATGGTGCATGTCAAAGCGGGCAGCAATAAGGCTGTCGATGGGAAGACACACCACCTGCAGTTGGTGTGTGTGAGCTTTCAGGTGACCTGGAAAGACCTGTTTACCTCATTAAAAATGAATCACAAGGTAATAAGGGCTCCGCTCTCCATTCCTCCCTCCCAATGTCTGTCCTTCATCCATTATGCAACAGTGAGGTGGGGTGGTGTGGGTTAAGTCCTCAGGGAGGGTCACTTGGATGGACACCCAGTCTGCCCCCTCCTCCACAAGCTACTGAAACCCCCTCTATGATTCAATAATGAGAGAATAACACAGCAATGGGGAGTATAATGTTGGTGACGAGCAATGCGGCAGGGAGTCCAGGTAGCAGCAGCCATCAGCTGTTTTTTAGAGGGCTATCTGCATCAGAGTGTATTTGTAATAATAACCAGTTTAATCTAAGAGGGACTGTAATTTCAATAAACAAAGTAATAGACTCTGCTTTCAAGAGCTCTGTGCGATGGAAAAAAACAAGATGTGTGTAAGGTGGGGGGAGTAGCTGACAAGGATATTCCAATTTAATTGAGTTCAATTTAATTCAAAGCAGGTGCTTTAGATTGTAAGGTAAAGACCCTACAATAAGAGAAAACCCCAACAATCAGACCTGACCCGCTATGAGCAAGCAGTTTAAAGCTCACTCATTAATAGATCTCTTATACAGGAACCACAGACGGTCTACAAGATGGACATAGCCACCGGTCTCTTACAACTTCATTGTTAGCATTTTAGCGTTTGCATTTCAAATTTGGATAGCAAGCTGCAAGGGTGCAATGAACAGTTAGTCATATTAGTTCATTATTAGCTAACATAATACTCTAGTTTCACTCACCAAAACTGAAGCACAAACTGTGCCACACGCCGAGTCTGAATATGAGCTGAGAATCCTTTAAAAATTCTCCATGAAGAGAAAACAACAGGAACAGAATAGAGAGGTCCACTGGAGGGTGAGGCTGAGATATCAGCTCCCGCTGTCTGTCTTGGCACCTGTATAAAGACACAGACATGCTCCTAACTCCAGCATTAAAACATTTATGTGTGTGGTGAGTGAGTGGGGAGTAGACTATAACT